ATCTATAAGAAAACAGGAGATGATAGATAATATAAAAAAATTAAAGGGAAAAAAAAAGAACCAGTAGAGTTGCACAATTTAAGCAAATGCTAATCTTTTAAAAAATAAACAATTTTGGGGGCCGACAGGTGGTGTGGCGGTTAAAGGCACTGGATTCCCACATGGCTGACTGTGGGTCACGTCCCAGACCTGGCGGCTTGCCTTCTCACTTTCCCTTTCTCTCTCTTTTTCTGTCTCTGTCTGGTCAAATTAAAAAATAATAATAACAAATGGAAGTAAATAAATAATTAATTCTTTAAAAAATAAACAAATAGGAGTCAGCAGGTGGCGTGGTGGTTAAGGGTGCTGGACTTTCACATGGCCAACTGTGGTTCGACTCTTGGACCTGGCAGCTTGCTTTCTCAGTTTACTCCTCTCTCTCTCTCTCTCTCTCTCTCTCTCTCACTCTATCCCTCTCTGGTCAAATTAAAATAAATAAATTAATTAAATAATTTTTTTTTAAAAGATAGAAAAATAAATAAATAAGCAATTTTGAGACTAGCAGATGGTTTAATGGTTATGTTGCTGGGCTCCCACTTGACCATGGTTCAAGTCCTGGACCCAGTGACTTAAAACTCACTCTAGAGTGTGTGTTTGTGTCTGTGTGCCCAAGATCCCAAGAGGAGAATGGAGGAGAAGGGATTGTGGCATGGCCATCCCCCCAGGGAGTGATTTCTCACTTTCTGTCTCTGTCATTGTCTCTCTGTCTCTATGAGGGCACACACCCTATAGCAAAAAAAGTTCTCTAAAAATTTTTTTTTTAATTTTAAAACAAACTCACTTCTGAAAAAAATGAATAAAAAGACTGCATAAATTTATAGTAACAGGAATAAAAAAGGTACTCAACTACAGATACAGTAGAAACTTTAAAGCAAAAGGCTTTCCATAGTCTAAATACTTAGATTGACCTGATGAAAAATGCTGTAACAACTGTTTCCACAGGAAAATAGTTGGGATGAAATGGAATAGAGGTCATCAAAATAACAAAGGTTAAAGTGCTTAGCATATGAAAAATGTCCAAAAATACTACTCATTTCTTTTTTTTTCTTTTAAGCAAACAATGTCCAAGAAAGATATTTTTTAAAGAGATTTTTTTGCTATAGGTCACATGTACTTGCTGGAGACAGAGAAACAGAAAGTGAGAAATCAACTCCCAGGGAGGATGGCCATGCTGCAATCTCTACTCTTCCATTCTCTTCTTGGGAATTTGGCATGCACACACACACCTGGTGTGAGTTTCAAGCCACCGTATCTGGGATGTGAACTGCGACTGGCCATGTGGGAATCCAGTAATATAACCATTATGCCATGTGCTGGTCTCTCAAGAAAGATATTATACTCATTTCTTTTTTTCTTTATTTCTTTTTTATTTTATTGTCAGAGAGTGCTTGTGCTTGCCAGAGAAAGAGAGAGGAGTGTGGTCATGCTGGAATACTTTCTCTTCCATTTCTCCACCCTGTCAAGATCTAGGGCATGCAAGCACATGTACCCAGCATGTTTTTCAAGCCACCAGGGCCAGGATACGAGCTATAGTTGGCCATATGGGATTCGACTCCCTACCTACAGGGCTTAACCTCTGTGCTACAGGGCTGGTCCATATCTCTCACTCATTTCTATCACTTATGAAATAGTATGGTATGAGGATTTCCTTTCTATTTTCCTACTTCCTATTTGAAGTAAATGGCTCAGATACAAAGGTGTGATAGTCAAATCCTACTTAGCTATTAACAAGTGGTGGTGGTGATGATAGTAATGAAGATTATTCCAAAAATGCCCACCTTTTTTCATACATGCATGTTCGTTTTTCCCCCCTCTTCTCTACAGAAGATGTTACCAAATTTGGTAAACTAAAAAGGTCTAAGAGAAAGCATAACAATAAGTTGATTATTTATGAAAAGGTAATGTTTCTAAAGGCTTTTATCTGGCATTAGAAAAGCAAATATAATTTGGAGCTTATTCATTTCAGGCTTGCAGAATAAATTTTTAAAATCTACATAAATGAAAAATCTATACGAAGAATTAAGTGTAGATCTCTACCTTATTTCCACAGAGCAAATCTGCAGCACAAAGATCTTAACAACTCTATTAAGATCAGAAGCAGAACTGAAAACAAAACCAAATTCTGACAGTACTCTGGCTATTAAAGTCATAATATCCCCTTTGTTTCTCTGTGCTCTTTCTTTCTTCTTTTTTTTCAATACAAACACTGATCTAAAAGAACATCTATGATCAGGTGATGTGTATAATGGAAAAATCTCCTTTGAAAGTCTTGCCAAGTATGGACTATACTAAAAGGAATGGAATGCGATAAGAAATATCCAATTATTAACTTAGTCCACTTAATAAAACCCATTCGCTACCAGTGCCAATGGATATAATTTTACAGGCACAAAATTTATAACCACATTAAAAGTTTTAGGGACTGCTGGCTAAAGGCTCTGAAAGCCTTTGAAAACAAATGACCAGTGAACACTAGGAAGGGCAAAGCTGGACAAGTCCCCTCATAGCTCAGTGGATAATCCCCGTCCACGGACACTGGATCCCACATGGCTGACTGGTTTGAATACTTGTCTGGTGGCAACGTACTGGGCACATGTGTGAGGGTGCTCAGGACCCCAAAGGCAAGGAGAAAGAGAAGAAAAGGGATTGTGGTGTGAACAGGCCTCTCTGGGAAGTCTCTCTCTCTCTCTCTCATGTGTTCATGCCAACTGGCATTCTTTTTTTTTTTTTTTTTTTTTTAAAAAAAAAGGCAAGGCTTAAATCATTCACGGCTGGTCATGCATGTGGACTGTATGACCCCAACAGCCTCCTCTAACTCTACCATTCTATTAAAAATAATTTTTAAGTTTAAGATAATTACTTTCCAGTTCCAATTCAGGTCACTATGTTTTGGTGCCTTTCTGGGATTTCACAAAACACAATCCATTGACCAGCTTCTAAAGATGAAATAAGATCTTCATGAAAGAATGTGGGATACAAGTTTGTGTTGAATTAAACCAAACTCCTCCTCTTTTCCAATTTGGGAATTCACCATCAATCTTCTCATTTTTCTAGAGAGAAGAAACACTAGTTTGCAATGGAGACTTTCAGAAATGTGAGTGCAAGGATAGGTATACTTCTTAAGGACCATGAAAATTAATTTTTAGTTCACAACAAAAAACCTAAAACCTGTGCTTTTTAAGGCAACCCTAGCATGCAAGATGCGTTTCCCAGTTGCACACATACAGAATGATATGTTGAGGATTAAAGATTATTTCTCAGAATGACTCCCAGAGGAATGTGGGGATACGGGTTGTAGGGCCATGAGGAAGTTGGCTCTTTCTACACATTGTTTAGCAGCCAAAAAGAATGCCAGGCTTCAGAGAAAGCAGCCCAAACAGATTCCTTTTATGGTGTGATAACATTTTATTCAAGAGGCTAACCTCTCCTTTTACAGGCAAGGCCTCAGAACCCACTCCTGGTAGGTTGGGAGAGACAGGGACTTCAAATGAATAAACCAGGCCTGGCTGGGTGTGTTTTACCCCAGGAAAGTAAAACCACTCACCAAGAGTTCTGGAAGCAATAGGATCAAATGCTGTAAAGAACTTTCATTTTCTGGCACCGTCTATGCCTGAACATCTCTAAGCTGATACTTTTAAGCCAGAGTCCCTATTCTTAGATTTACAACGCCCATACTGCTGCCAAGAGTTTGGCTTCTCCGAAGTATTCTGTTTTCCTAAGGTACATTTTCCCCGTGAGCCTCATCAACAACAAACTCTCCAACAACTTAAAATAGATTTTAAACTTTGTGAGGCTTTCCTGCTAAGCCAGGTTCAAAGTGTTTGTTCCTATATAGGAACAAGTCTTGCTTCATCATTTTTATTGTTCTTGGCCACATTTCTTGGATTAAGACACATTATAACAGGAAGAGACACAGGGGCACAGCTACTAAACTAACGTAATCTTTTGTTGTGAAAACCAAGAAGCAAGATTAAAAGCCCAGATCCTTCAAACACATGCTCCATAAACAGCAATAAATTAATATTTTCCACCAACATAGCATTTCTATTATGTGAGAAAATGTGGAAAACATTTAGGTGTTTTGAGTCCATCTCATAATGAAGATTTTTTTGATGTGCTACTTAAGCCCAGCTCAAGTCTAACACCTGAAATGGTATTAGCACCCAGCAGGAGCAACCTTTCCATATATAAAGGCAACATCTCTGAGATCCTGTCAGTCAAGACACTGGGTAGGAGTCAAGTGCAATCACTACCAGAATCAGGACTACCACCACCACCACCACCATTATCACCACCAGGAATGTCAAAGACTTATGGCTATCGGGACCAGCAGTTAGCGTAATGGCTAAGTCGCTGAACTCCCATGTAGTCAACTGCAGTTCAAGTCCCAGACCCAGTGACTTAAACTCACGCCAGGCGCATGTGCCTCTGTGTCCAAGTTCCCGAGAGGAAAATGGAGGAGAAGGGACTGTGGCGTGGCCATCCCCCTGGGGAGTGATTTCTCACATTCTGTCTCTCTCTGTTTTTCTGGAGAGCGCACATGCCCTATAGCAAAAACCTCTCCAAAAAGACTTAAGACTATTTACGCTGCTGGAAAATACTATATCCCAGGGTGTGCAATCAGTTCTAAATGTTTCCCACAAAATTCAAAATACTCCTATAGTCAATAGCTCACTTACTTGGGCATGTATAAAATTTTACATGTACATTTATTAAGAGAGGAGAAAAATGTAACACTATTTTCTAAATATTTATTTACTTATTCTACGAGAGAAAGATGAAGAGAGACATTCAGACAGGCAGGCAGGCAGGCAGAGAAACAGGCATCCCCAATAGGGTCCCTACCCCGCAGTCCAAAGAAGGAGGGGAATTCCAAAGAGGAAACAAGTGATGGAAATGACAAGCCTAATTATTTTGTATTTCTTTGTTGAATTTGATTACAATTTGTATATTTAACCTACCTCAAGTTTAAGTAAGTCAGCATCTGCAGATTAACGATGGCCTCCGGAATGACTCTGATACAATTATGATACAGATTAAGGATTTCCAGTGATACGAAATGGCACAATTCCATGGGGACTTCGACCAGTCTGTTTTTAGATAAATCTGTGAGAAAAGGAAAGAATGTTGTGTCAATAAATCTTCAATATACACAATACAATTATATCAACCATGGGTATTCTTTTTCTTAACATTATAATCTAAAGTTAGATCAATGTTACCATTTTTTGCACGTCTGTTACTATAGCATTGTGACCTCTATTCCCTAGTCAAATTCAAGGACACGTGGTATGTGGAGTGTTGCTAAAATTTTCTACTCTTTAATTCATAAATCTAGGCCATGTAAGACATATTTTTTCCTCTATCTGAAAATGATCTCAAACTCATTCTGCCACAGAGAAGTATGTAAAACAAAAACCCTTTAGGCCAGCCACAGGGGCGCAGTGGGGACGCAACACTCCGCAATGTTAGAGCACTGTGGGAAAGTCCTGGGTTCGCGTCTCAACCTGTTCCTGTCATACATGGGGCATGCACATGCTCGTGATGCTAGCTGGCTGGGACTGGAGGGGGACAGTAACAGGGAGACCCTGTTAAAGGTTTTGTTTCTCTTTCTCTCTCTGTTTCTCTCTTTCACAGAAGAAAAAAAAAAGCTATCCTTTAATGTATCTGAATACATATATTTATAATTATTAATTCAATTTTTGCATTCATAATATATATTATCTCTTCAATTGTGGTAAAACATCTTTTCTACACAAGGTACATGTTTTTCATGTCCTCTGCAAATGAACACATAATAGACACAAAACAAATACTTTATTCACTAAAATTATGTAGTATCTGGAATGTACAAAACCAATAAAAATTAACTGTGACCATTAAGAACTGACACTGGGGCCAGCAGTTGGTGTAGTAGTTACATCATTGGACTCCCACATGGCTGACCATGGTTTGAGTCCTGTCACCGTGGCTTGGAACACATCAGGCATGCGTGTGTGTGCCCAAGATTCCACGACTAGATTGGAGAGGACTAGATTGTGGCATGGCCAATCCTCCTCTGGGGTGTTTTCACAATTCCCTTCTCCTATCTCTGTCTCTCTCCAAGGCAAAAACTTCTTCAAAATAAATAAATAATAAAAAAACAGAACTGACACTGTATCTGCCATGTGACCAGTGTACCAAAGGCGGTAATTACAGTCCATAGAAACATGTAACCATATGGTATGGTTTACGAGATTACCGTTCCAACAACAAAATTATGAGTAGTGTTTGATATCTAAATCTGGGTGTTGTAGACATGATTGTTGAATATCATAAACACTAAATATAAGGAAAAACCACCACTCTTAAAAATAATTCAACAATAATAAATGACTTCACTCTGTATCCGAAGGGACTCAAACAGTGTCAACTGAAGAAATTTAGTAAATAATACAAGGATGCGCAAAAGTGTGTGAACAAAATGGAATGAGAGTTCATTGTTTATTTTGGTACAAAAAAATGAAATTCATACATGGTTTTTTCCAAATACATATTTTGGACAGTTTTTGAAGACCAGTCATTTGTAATGTAAACCCAAGGAGACACAGACTGAATTTAAATAAAACCAACCTCCCAAAAATATAGATAACTAAAGCAGGTCAATACCATAAATGAAATAGAAATTGTCAAAGAGCAATTTTCCTTTCCCAGATTGTTCCTCCAATAAATAAACACATAAAAAAAAATAGGCCTACAATTTCAGAGGGCATTTCTTATAAACTTTTAAGAATCAAGCTGTTTCAAGACACACACAAAGAAGGAAAGTTTATAATTCTTACTTAAATCGTGAGTTATAATATTGACGCTTATCATTTCACAAAGGAGGTTTATGAAGGGAAATTGCATGAACTTCTCTTCTAAATACTGATTTAGAACTGAAATTAGTAAAACAGCAAACAGAATCAAGCAGCCCACAGTATGAGTGACTAAGGCATATTCAATCCACCATTATTACAAACAGACCAAAAGTGAAATAGCATATGATCATCCCCAGAGATACTTAAAAGGCACTGGATAAAATACTGCATTCATTTTTTTTAAAGAAACAATTTTATTGAGGTATATTTTATATATCGTAAAATCGACCTATTTCAAATTTACAATTCAGTGATCTCTAGTAACTTTACTGAGCGGCAAACTCACCACCATAATTCGGTTTATACTTACATTCATCCTTAACATAATGCTTCATAAAGGGTGAATAGTTTGATAAGTCCTTCTATAATTTACACACATACAGACATACGCATACATATGGGAGAGGAAAAGTGCTTTTATTACTAAATCACGAAAGACTAGAAATGTTATCATTAAAGACAAAAGACATCACTACTAAATTACTACAAGCTGGGTACCACTTATCCAAAATGTTCTAGATTTTTTTTTCAGATTTTTGGAATATCTGCATATACATAATGATATATCTCGGGATAGGACCCACATCTAAACATAAAATTCTTTCATGGTTTCATATATATACCTTACACACATAGCTGAGGGTAATTATATACAATCATTTTTGTATTACAGTGTTTCAACTGTGACATGTCACATGAAGCCAGGCTTAGAATTTTCCACATGTGGCAACTTGTCCATGTTCAAACAGTTTCAAATTCCAGAGCATTTTAGATTTCACATTTTTGGAGTACGGATATTCAATCTATACTACTACTTATTATTGTCCAATACACAAAATGAGCTAAACTAAAAAGCATCACAACTGGAAAGAGAACGGGATTATTATTATTTGCAGATAATAATTGATTTCCTGGAAAAATCTAAGAGTATCAATGAAAAAAATTATTACAAATGATATAATTTTTTTTCCTTTTTTTTAAATTCTTTTTTTTTGGAGAGGTTTTTGCCATAGGGCGTGTGCGCTCACCAGAAAGACGGAGAGAGACAGAGAGACAGAAAGCGAGAAATCACCCACCAGGGAGAATGGCCACATCACAATCCCTTCTCCTTCATTCTCCTCTTGGGATCTTGGGCACACATGCACATGTGCCTGGCATGAGTTTAAGCCACCGGGTCCGGGACTTGAACCGTGGCCGACTACATGGGAGTCTAGGGACATAGCCATTATGCCAACTGCTGGTTTATATCATTAAATTTTAATGATATAAAATTTAATAAAAATACAGGGTAGAAAATTAATATACTGCAACAATAGCCTTCACACTCACGTGCACACGCATACACACACACACACACACACACAAACTAGCAAAATGATACAAGAGACTTAAGTGATAATAATAGCAAAAGTGTAAAACATCTAGAATTTTTAAGAAATTGAAACAACAGCAAAAGATGGAAAGCAAAATCAGTGGATTGGTTAAGTATTAATAGAGTGGAGCCAGGTGGTACTGTCATGGTAGCACAACAGACCCACTTAGGAAAGGTTGTGGGTTTGAGACCTTGACTCCCCTGAGCACGATAAGTACACACACACATGCCTGCAATCCGGGCCAGCTAAGATTGAAAGTGGATTGCAGCCTGAAGACCCTGTTGGATTGCCTGCCTTTCTCTCTCTCATGGAGGAAATAAACAAACTTTTAAAAATATTCATATTGGGACCAGCAGTTGGCGTAATGGCTCTGTTGCAGGACTCCCATGTAATCGACCATGGTTCGAGTCCCAGATCCCGTGGCTTAAACTCACACAGGGCACATATGTGCCCAAGGTCCTGAGAGGAGAACAGAGGAGAAAGGACTGCGGCATGGCCATCCCCCATGGTGGGTGATTTCTAGCTTTCTGTCTCTCTGTCTCTCTGGTGAGCTCACACACCCTATAGCAAAAACTTCTCTCCCCCTCCAAAAAAAGAAAAACATACATATTAATATACTATTAATAAATACTATAATGCTCAAATTAAATCAACTGTTAAATATTAATATAACAATAATCTACTTCATGTGATAGAATGTAATATTAAACATTATATTCCATAATAAAATATGAATACTAAGTAATTACTAAAATAAATGAAGCAGCTCTATATGCACTGATATGGAATAAACTTCAAGATGCAAACGTGTTTAAAAAGCCAGTTACAGGATCAGCCATTTGGTGGTTAAGAGAAGTCAGACTCCACGGGACCCTCCACGGTACAAATTCTGACCCTGACAGCTTGAAAACAAGCTGGGCACATGTTCATGAGCAGGCATGCCCTAACTCCCAAAGGATGGAAAAATGGAGGAGAAAGAATTAAGGCATAACCATGCCCCATTGAGGGGTGCTTTCTTCCCCCCTCTCTCTATTCCTCTTGAAGAACACACATGTAATCTGGCAATTTTAAAAAAATTAGCTTTAGAATAGTGCATGTAGTAAGTATGTTTTCTAGTGAGTATTTATATAATTGTTTAAATATAAATAGATTATCTCTGTAAGGCTATAAAAGAAACTGATCAAAGTAATTGTTTCTGGAAGGGAATCTCTAGCTAAGAGTGAATGGAAGAGAGACTTTGGAAATATGAATGCAAAATAGAATCTATGGTGAAATATGTACCTTTGGAAATATAAACGCATTGCTTATTTGATTACAGATATGGCATGTGTGTGTGTGTGTGTGTGTGTGTGTATATGTATATAAAATTATAATCTACATGATAATCTTTTTATAAATATATATCCCTCTCTCTTTTTTAAAAAAGCAAAGAATCCTCCTATCAGCATTCTTATTCATTCATTACACTAATTGTTTATGTGTCATTTGAAATGAGAGCACAGAAATTTAGAGCACAGAACAAACTCTAATATCCCTCTTATTCAGTTATGGAAAATATTGAAGCAAGTTTCCTTTCATAAACATTTAGAACACAGTCTGAAAAAAAATTTCTCAAGTCTTTTCTGTCCTTTTTTCCCTAAAAGTTTTTTTTATTTTTTGAGAGGTTTTTGCTACACAGAGAGAGACTGAGAGACAGAAAGCGAGAAATCACCCCCCACGGGGGATAGCCATGACGCAATCCCTTCTCCATTCTCTCGGGACCCTGGGCACGCACGCACATGCACCCGGCGTGAGTTCCAAGCCACCGGGTCCGGGATGCAAACCATGGTCGACT